CAACACCCAAGGGAGAGGGGAAGGGTGTTAAATAAAAAAAAAAAGAAAATTAAAATGTTAAATTAAAAAACTTTTAGAAAAATTAATCTTATCAATTTAATTCAATTTTATTATAATTTTTTAACTTTAAAATTCATGTTTCCTGGACAAAAGGGTTCAACCCCTTCCCCTCTCCCTTGGGTGTTGGGTGAGGCTAACTTTACACCATCCTCTTTTCATAAAGATTGTTCACACATTATAGCCATTATCTGCATGAAATGTCATGAGTTATAAAGAAAAGGGGTTCTTCAAATGTTCCCCAATTTATTGTGGATATATAGTTTTAAAAATTATTACTTTTTGGAAATTTATGGGCCTTTTGTCTTTAGCATCTTTTATAACAGAAATTCTTCAAAATTGCATGAGGAATTTCATGGGTTTAACTTATGATAAGAGCCTTCCTTAGGTTAACAAGTGTATGGATGATAGCTAATGCTGAATCATTATATTTTGATATTTATGGATATTCAAGAGTGTATGATGTTGAAATTCTAAATATGTATAGGTCAGTCAGGCAGTTTGTCTTTGAATTCAGTTGGAAATATTGATCATCAGAAAATTATATTTGATTGTATTAAAATCAGTATTTATAGATAAACATTAAGAAGATTACACAAACACTGTACTTTCACACTCTGGTTTTACAAACATAAAAAGTTTAAATTACTAAGGATTAAACATAATGACATAAAAGACAAGACAGACAAAATGAATATTAAAATATTCAGTCCTCAAGATTGAAAGTTTTTAAAGATTGAAAGTCTGAGAGTCTGAAAGCCTAAAAGGCTGAAAGTCTGAATCTCAAGATTCATATTCATATCATACATATTGTGTTTTGAAGGATTGAAAGTCATTATATGATTTGCTTGTAAAACTCTCTAAAATGAAGAAGCACATTCAGTGACATATTATAGAAAGAGTTGGGAGATTTTATATCTAATTCCTTACCAATAAAAAAAATATCACTATGAGATCCTTATAATGAAGTTTTACTGTAGCAGGAATACATTAACCTTGAACCTGAAAAGTCAATAGAGGTGTTATAAAATTCATGGACAACAATGGTATAGCAAAAAAAAATTGTGCTGATCTTTGACCTGAGAATGCAAAATATATGAAGTTTGTTTAATTAACCTATCCATGATGTTTATTGAATATTAACTAAACAATTAAATTTAGCAGATGTCCACATCTCTTTAACCTTTTGACTAAAAACTTAATAAGGTCATTTATTTACCTTTGTGTAACTTTGATGAGTATCTTATATGTTGGATATATTAGCAAAACACAATCTAATCTGAGTAAAGAGGAAACCTGAAAAAGCTTGTATTCCTTTGTATGAACAAATTAATTGATGTCATGCAGTTATTTTAATCAAATTATCAGAACAATCTGATGATTCTTAAATAAAAAGTTCTCACTATACTAGTTAGAAACCATTGCTCTACCTGTCAAACACAAAAATATGAATGTTAACTTAAAAAAGCAAGTAAGGTTCCTTTTCTTCAAAGGGTAAAATTTTAATGGATTGGGTGAGTGTTTGTTACTTTATGCCTATAAAGAAAAATATATGCCCTCCATTTTGACTGTATGGATGAAGAACTGTTTATATAATTGAATCAAACTTATTTCTTTCATGTCATTCTTAATGTCATGGTATCCATCATTCATAATATGTACAAGTCTCAATCCTAATAAATGAATCCACATTTTGTTTTTATTTCACATCCCTTGGCAACCATATTTGAGGGAAACTCAAAATTCTCTGTTCATGTCATTTTCTGGTGTATATCTTCATCATTTGACATAATTCATTTACTTCTTGTATTTTGATTTCCTAAATCAGAGCTATTCATACATAGAAAGAAAAAAAAATGAATACAGTGAATTTATTGCAATACCTACATGTTTGATACATAAAAAAGATATATTTTTTTCATTCCTTTTTTTGACCTTTGGATTGATCCTGAATTGAGATAACCATTTACTTTTTGGCAAGTGTAAACTATATACTGCATGACTAAACATGATTTGTATATTGAAAATTGAAATGGTTTCTTTAATGCTTAAATCAAAATACTCCAACTGTCTTAGTGAGAATTATGCTCAATTATTCTCTTTAGGGAGAGGGCTCAAACAGGCTTTGCCTGCTGCCCATGTCATTCACTTATGTGAATAAAATTTTGTATAAATTAATTATGCTCAATCAACTTTGTGAAATATTCCCAATTTCCAATGCTTCGTATTTACATTAAGTAACTGACTCAAATTAAATTGTTTGTTTTCTCATTTATTTTATAGGAAATAACATGCTGACAGTGAATCTAATCATTTTTAAAAACTGGTTAAAGTAATGTTTACAATTGACTTAAAATGCTTAAATGCAAGTTTATTTCATACAGAAATACCTTAATTGTATAGACTGAATTTACTTATAGATTCAATATATAGAAGAACCCCTTATGAATAGTAAAAACCATTTTTCAAACCTGATTTTCTTGCCTATTCTCTCATGCATTACCTAATTTGAGTTGAGTATTCTCAAATTATTGATTACATGAACAAACAAATTTAAGATAAAAACACAATATATGCTGAATGCCCTGAAATAAAATGGTTACATATTTAAGATGTGTAACACATCATGTACAACTTTTAAGTCTACAAAATTTTAAGTTAACCATATTATACAATAAGACTCCTTTTTCAAAGTTATGAGAAATTCTTCATAAAAAATGTATTTATGCAAAAGATAAATGTTAGAGTTCACTTTTTAAAATATATTTTACATGAATCACATAAAGAACATGTCAAATCATTTCTTTGTGGTTGTTTTCCTTTTGAAACATCTGTGAACAGATATTCTGTTTTGTCTTATTGATACATAAAAAGCGTCCAAAAATCATTTGGAAATGTTGTGTTAAACCCTGATACTCAGAATTTTAAGAGTTTCTGATGTGTGCACTACTTAGAAATGTTTACAATGTAACAAAGATGAAATTCCTAATTGATTTAACCAGCAATTATAAAGTCATCAGGTTTACACATGCTTTTATAACACATCATGTACATTTTTTTTTTCTACTAGTTTTCTTTGTTCACAAAAAATTGAAATCAACAGTACTTAGCATTCCATATTAAGAAATATGAACCCTAGCTATTAAAAATCTAAAAGTATATTTGTGCATCAATGCAATATGTTTAACAAAACAATCTCTTTCACTGTGATGAAAATTGTCTTTTTCATAGAACATGCAGATGAAGAACTTCTTTGGATGATGTCATTTTCACATGTAGAAAAGAAACTAATTCAACTAAAACTAAAAGACAGTCCTTAAAATTTTAAGGACATTAAAGGATGATATCAAGACTGATAAAATTCTACAATTATCATCCAAAGATGTATATGTTTGGATTTATTTTTTAATTCACAAGCAAATGATAAGCTGCCATTTAATCTTTCAAACTTAAAAAAAGTTCTTTACTTTTGAATGAAGATCTAGAGGAGTCTTCCCCATGCAGATCTATTTATGAATGGGTTTTTCCCCTTGACCTTAGTTCAAAACTTATATTATTCCAACCAGTCTTTATCTATGCAGTGATAATAAGATTTTTTACAGAATTCTTAGGTATTACATAGTAATAGTCTTTAAACATCCTTGTTGTGCATTTGATTTACATTTCCAATTCTTTCCAAAGAATATGCCATGTCACCCAATATAACAGATATAAAGTCTCTAGGTTATGACAAAATGTTAAAGTTTCAACATTACAAAGCTCATATTAGTAATCTTACCAACTGACTTTTACCCAGGAGAAAATGATCCAAAAATCTATAGATCATCTCCGAATCTTTCTTTTACTTATGATGTGAAGTTTGCAGGTTACAAATTATTGTCAAAGGTAGTTATCTCAATAATCTCATGCTTTGACCCTGACAAAGTGTCCTATAAAACTAAGTGTATTACTCTAACCTGTTCTGTGTAGTAAGCATGAAGTCTATGGGATGATAGAAATATTCAAGATATTATTACATCAGATTCACAGATCAGGGGACACTTACATCTTTATGGGGGTCCTATTGAGACCTATTAAATTCAAAATAGGAAACATACATACACAAACAAAATGTATTTACAGTTCCAGGAAAGTAATAATTACACCAAAGCTAGCTTTTAAACATCTGTGTAATTTGTTAGGGGTTGTAGAAATAAGATGAAAAATAAAAGGTTTAAATGTATACTTCTCATACATAACAACTGTCTTCAATATGAATTAGTAAAAATAAAAGTCACATTTAGATACTTTGAAGTCTGGGAATTATTTTTTTTAAGATCTCATACTATCAGAAAATCACAATATCAATTCTAGGATTTGATTAGACATCAGTTTGTTATAAGACTGCAATTTATCTATTGTTGTGTATGACAGAATATGAAAGAGATGAAGGGGAGAGCTTTTGACTTTTTTTTCCTTCAGCATAGTTTAAAATATATATTATACAGGTCTTTATCTATGTAGTGAATATAGGAATTTTACAGAAACCCAAGGTATTACATAGTAATAGTCATATAAACACCTTTGAACATTGTACATTTGATTAACATTTCATTCCTTTCCTAAGAATTTGCACCTAATTTTTATAAAGTCTATAAGTTATTACACAATGTTTAAGTTATTGCATTACAGGATTCAAATCAGTAATCTCAGTAATTAACTTTTACCCAGGAGTAAATGATCCAAAAACTCTATAGAAATATCTTATTGATTCTTAAATCTGAGTGTGTACTTATGATGTGAAGTTTGTAAGTTACAAATTATTGTCAAAGAAGTCATCTCAATAATCTTATGCTTTGACCTTGACAAAGTGTCCTTAACAACAAAGTGTATTCCTACAACCATTCTATATGTAATTAGTATGATGGATGATAAAGATATTCAAGATATTATTAAAACACAGATTATGGGACACTTGCATCTTTATTGGGGGTCTTATTGAGACCCAATTTAAATTCAAAATTAAACATGATACATACACAAACAAAATATATTTACAATTCCAGGAAAGTTAAATAATAACATTAAATCCAGCATCTGGATATCTGTGTTAATTTCTAGGGGGTTGTAAAAATTAGATGAAAAATAAAAGGTTTTAATGTGTAATTCCCATACATAACAACAGTCTTCAATATGAAATGGTAAAAAATAAAAGTCACATTCACATACTTTGAGGTCAGTGAGAATTAGTTTTTAAAGAGCTCATGCTATCAGAAAATCATATTTTCAATACTTGATTGACTAGATCTCAGTTTGATAAATGATTACACTTTATCCATAGTCAGTGTCTGACAGTAAAAGATACAATCCTGGGTCCTTTCTTTGTCATCCTGTTAACCACAGTCTATGATCGTACTGGTTAAATTAGTTGGAAATCATATTGTTCTTCTTAAATCCTCCATCCTCCTCCTGTTTGATTTTCTTGTTTCAGTGTTCCAAGAGAGGATATTCTGTTAGTCTTTGAATGATCTGATAGTCTTTCACCATTCTGAGAGTAGACATAGATCATTTCCACAAGCCTTCACTAGAATATCCTGGAAAATAAAAAAATAATGTCTTTGTTAAATTTTTTTTAATGTAATATAAGCTTGCTGGAATTCTAAATATAGACAAAAAGGGTATAAATACAAGGTGTAATATCAGATTTTGACTTTTCATATTAACCATGGGTAACACCTCCAGTAAAGAAAAGAGTAAAGGAATGAGTAAAATTCAGTTTGGAAAGAGAATTCTTTCAGAGAAAGATATAGACAGAGGTATACCAGTTAAAATAAAAAGATGGCACTATTGAGATCATTTCTCAAGAAGAATATAATCAATTATGTCCAGAAAAGGGTGTACCTAATGTTGTCAGAGATTACATAGAAAGACCCTTGATTGCAGAAGAAGCAAATGAAGAATATAACCATTTATTACCAAAAGAGGGTAAGAATTACTTGGATTACTCTGAAAGACCTTTGACTAGAGAAGAAGTCTAGTTTATAGATGATAAGAGAAAACAGTTGTCAGAAAAAAATGTTGTTAAAGACACATGATTTTTAGCCCACAAAACCATTGGAGATACAAGGATTACAAGATACAAGGATTAATGGAGGAAGTCCAAACTGAACTCTTGGAGGACATTAAGGCTTATTATGAGAGTAACTTTTCCAGTATTTGTTTATTACAAAATTATGTATTCTAATTTAAAAAAAAAAAAGTTTTCACTTTCATTTGTTGTGCTTAAGACCATTTAAATTGACCTTATGATCAAGATTGTGATATATACATTCTGATATTATCATTTATGATGTCTCTATGATGTCTACCTCAAAAGTTTGAATCAGGGTATTTGTGTTCAAAGAGCTGAAGAAACTATACAGACAGATCTAAGATTTTGGAAGCATACATATTAATGAGGTTAAAGGAGATATAACACTAGATTATTATAAAAGAAAGAACACAAACTCATAGAAATGATATTGAAAGTACCTTAAATGAATAAAGTGTCATGCTCCAAAGTATTATTTTTATAAACAGGAGAAGGTTTACAGCAGTCCCATACACTCATAAGAAGATCTTGGGTAGTAGAAACACCAGGGAATGTTATTTCCAAACAATCAGATCATCTTACATCAGTTATATGGTTACAGTCTTTATACATAATCAAGAGGGTCATTAAGATTTCTTTTATGGTCATCCTGATGGGCCACATTATAGTATTTTTACCCTGTGATATAATGTTAATATTAAATGAAAAATTCAGAAATTTTATTAGCAATTGGAGTCAAAACTTCTTATCTTTACCAACTATGCTATTAAGGAAGCTGGGGGTTAACAAATTAGCCATATTTAACTTATTCTATAGATATGCTATCTTCAGCTGTTGACTATCATTTGGAAAGAAAAACTTCATACATTTTAGTTTTAAAATTTGATCATGATTTTTATGCCTTTTCTTGTGAAGGATATCAATATGGTTTAAACATGACCATGACCACCAAGCCCTCTTTATTTTAAAAAAAAATCATATATCATTTACTTATCAATTCCAAAATATAAGAATGCATATGTAAATAAATAAATAAATAAATAAAAATTACAATTGTATCTCATTGAAAGTTTACCTTCAAGTTTGTGTGTTTCTATGTTGATTGACTAACTGTGTATTTCCAAAGGAAGAGCAGACAGTCTGAACTTCATAGAGAATGGATTATAGATGGTTAGGAACAAAACATATCTTCCAGGTTGAGGACTGTATAGAAAATAAAACCATTTTGTTAATATGACAGAGTACTGTGTGAAACAATACATGTTTAAAAATTGAACAAACATGTACAATGCCAAAAAAGTTCATGAAAATGTTTGTTTTTTAATCTCAAAACAAATTGTTTTTAACATTAACTCCAGATGAGAAAAGTTCATCATGTTATCTTTAGATAATAAAAAAAAAGCATAATTACTGTATTGATATCACAAATAAAATGATTATCAAATTAATTATTTAGACACTAAAAGATTTTTTATTAACAACAGATTCAATTTTGATTAATATCTGTCAGTACTGCATACAGAAAAATACATCTTTTTTTAGCCTCATCACAGTACAACATGTAGTCCTTAATTTTTTGAAAAGCTCATTACTAAGAAACAAAAGTGAAAATGAAAATATATGTATGTCATATATCCCACATATTTAGAATCAAAACAAAAAGTAAATAACTTAGGATTAATCTTTTGTAAATTCCTCCTTTTCTCTCATTACATTCCCAATCAATATCTCTTTGATCACCATTTAGTAAGTCTGAATTCCATGGGTAACATACATAATGAATTATGAAATTAAATCATAATCTATACAAAAGGACTTATTAATATTCTGAAGATCCCTTGATACATTTTAGGTTAAATAAGGGTGTGCTTATATGAATGTAAGTTAGAGACATTAGATCACATAAGTATTACACAGTAATTAAAGTAACCATATAATCATGGTTAAATGCAAAGATGACCATCATATAAATGTAAAAATTAAAACAAGACTAACTTACCAGAGATATTCAACTATATGCCCAATAAGCCTATCCATTAAATAATCCAGTGAAATAACATCTCAGCTGATCCTGAAAAAATCATACAATTCAGTGATACACATTTAACCTAATTTTACAATGTAAGTAAAGCAATAATTTACAGACAAATGGGATAGAAATGTAAAAGATACCATGTATTTTACCAACATTTAGTGAATATTTTTCTGATTGAAATTCAATCATAGAATAACCCATCATAGAAATAATAAATGCACTCTGAGTTACATGCAGGTTATACAACTGTAAATCACATGAAATGAGGATAAATACAGCATTTCCATTCAAAATAGAACTTTACATATAAATAATAGTTAAATGCAAAGATGACCTTCATAGTAAATGTAAAAATTAAAACAAAACTAACTTACCAGAGATATCCAACCATATGCCCAATAAGCCTATCCATTAAATAATCCAGTGAAATAACATCTCAGCTGATCCTGAAAAAATCATACAATTCAGTGATACACAAATTAACCTCATTTTACAAAGGAAGTAAAGCAACAACTGACAGACAAACAGGACAGAAATGTAAAAGATACCATATGTATTTTACCAAAATTTAGTAAACATTTTTTCTGATTTAAATTTAATCACAGAATGACCCATCATAGTAATATTAAATACACTCTGGGTTACATGCAAATTATACCTTACATGAACTGAGAATAAATACCCCATTTACATTCATATAAACTGAATTTTACATAACTAATTACTCTTTTAACTGATGTCACCATTAGTATGTCAGAATATTCAGGGTGTACAAATCATGTATATTCACTTTTAAAGGACTCAATATATATTTTACATGTTGATGTTTGAAGTCACTGACTAAATAAAATACATACATGTATATACATGAAGGTTTAAAAAAAGGGGGGGCACACATGTTTATAGATTTACAGAGATGCTCAGACTGAGTTTTTCCCACTTTCATTGGGCCACTTTGCACCAGAATGTAAAAATATGAGTGACAAATAAGGCAAAAGATTCTGTATATTTCATTAAAAAAGATTTGAGACAAAAGATTCATTGGCATAATATGATCTGATTGATTATCTCCATATCCTTCTTTTGGTCACTGTGATTAAAGATTCATAGAAATATTAGAAATGACAACTGAGAATATCACTTTAGTTGTTTTAAAAGCATGTATCAGTATTTTATAAGATATGCTAGGAGTCTCCTCATAAGAATATTTAGAATACTGATCCAATAAAAGGAATCTGAGACAATATGATCATAACTCATGCAAAAAAGATTTATCAACATTTTGAGGATCTTTTAGTGTCCTAGTGTATTTCAGGGTAAACAATGGCAGTGTTTAATGTTCTAAACATAAGGTATATAACACAGTAATAATGAATAAATACAAAGACGACCTTCATAGAAAATGTATAAAGAAAAGTTTGTTAAAACTTACCATGTAACCAGGTAACTCAGTAGAGTAATATTCATTAAATAATCCAGTGAAATAACATCTAGGCTGATCCAGGATTCAGCTGTTCAGAACTTTCTTGGAAGAAAAAAGGTAGAAAATCAGTTTTGGTACTGAAATCCATAGGACCATACTGTTATTACATGAAGTCTCAAGCGCTGTGAAAGTCTGTGTTATTGTGTCAAAATAAGCAGCCATCGCGGCTTGTGAAGGACTAACATGACGTCGCTGCCAAGTTTATGACGTCACAATGCATAGGTAAGCTCGCTGACTAGAGATAGTTTACAGAAAGATAAGTCCAACCTATTTTTGCAAGATGATGCAACAGGTATCAAAAAGATGATGCAATAGATATATAAAGATGATGCAACAGCTATAAAAAGATGATGCAATAGATATATAAAGATGATGCAACAGATATATAAAGATGATGCAATAGATATATAAAGATGATGCAATAGATATATAAAGATGATGCAATAGATCTAAAAGATGATGCAACATATGTACTGAATTGACCCAGCTATCCCTAGAACCCCCTAATCTGCACTCCCTTGACCCGCCTATCCCCCCCAGGGGCTGCACTCTGTTGACCCACCTATCCCCCAGGGGCTGCACTCCCTTGACCCACCTATCCCCCCAACCCCAAAAGTGCACTCAGTTGACCCAGCCATCCAGGCGCCTTATACTACTCCCTTTAATAGCATCAACGTCCCCATTAAAAAAATTATATGGCCTTTTTTTTTTAATTTGACGTATTATTTCTTTCTTTTTTTTGGGGGGGGGGGTCTCAAAGATTTTTTTTCATTTATTTTCCCGACTCTCCCCTAAACATTAAAAATTACACAATGTGTCTGTAATTTCAAATATTTCTGTACTTAAATAGAATTGACTCGTGTCATTATGGCTGTGACGGAGGCAAATCCTCATTTATGACGTTTATACAGACAATATATATAGATCTTAGTTCGCGTTGTAAAATCTTGTTACAAAATTCAGATATTTACCTTGATATGCATCTGCTTTACCAAGAATTGATCTGACACTAAACTTTTTCAAATTCCTTGACCTCGCTAGACCTCAGCAAAATTTTAATCGTGAATGTGAGCAAACCTGAACTTTATTTGTGGTAAAAGAATTTCTGTTGTAAAATTTTCACTTTGGTTATGATGTTTTAGCATTCAAAATGAAGTGTACATGATAAATACGGAATTACATGCAGGTATAACCTCTATCAAAACGTAAACATGGGATATTAAAAATCGTATGATCGGAATAAGTATCATCTTTCAGCAAAATTTATGCTCATTATTGGAAATGTCCAAGTGAAACTAAGCTCTGAGCTAAAAACAGATATTCTTTTAAAAAATATTTGAATGGCTTTAGATCGTATACACAATTATGAAAAAAAAATGATAACGTTCATGTTAAAAAATTGGGAAATGTCTCACTTGCAACTTGCATATTATGACGTTGTCTTTACCGTCGTTTTTCTCAATATGACGTCAAAGTACATAAGGGCCCTTTTCGCATCGGACGGCTCATTTGGTATTTTGTCCTTAACTATCATTTTATTCGTGGCACATATCATAAAGGTCACCGAAATGTTAGTTTCTATGATCAAAATTTTTCCCTTTGTCATACATAAGCATTTTTCCTAAATTCATTCATTAATGTCCTTTTTATGCCCCCGTTATCAGAGATTCGAGGGCATATAGGTTTTATCGTTTCCTGTCTGTCTGTCCTTTTGTTTGTCTGTCTGTATGTCTACCGTATGAAGTATTATTTCTGCCCCTTTTGCCCCGTTTTCAACTCACCCAGTCATAGTTCTTTCTAAGAAATTATGCTGTGTAATTTGAATTCGTCCTGTTTCTGATTTGCCTAAGAAGAGGACAAAAGGGGTGAAAATAAAACGGGGACGAAAATTTCCCTGAATACTGTATCCGTTTGTCTGCACAAATTTGTCTTGCCAATTACTTTTGATTTAGTGAATCTATGACTTTCATATTTCACATGTGTATTCCCTGTGACAAGACCAACACTTTTGACCTTTGGACCTTGGATTTGTACATACTTTTACATAAAAAATCAAACTTTTTTTTGGCCACAATTTTTGAACGGTAGATAATAATTGACTTTAACCTTGGCCACAGCCATAACGGCATGGGGGCAGGGGTTTAATACCTCAAATATGTAATTTTTGTGAGAAGTCAATCTTAAATACCACGAAGTTTAACCTTAACCTTAGAGTTTGACTTACTTTTGAAAAGCAAACATTTGATTATAACTTTTGAAGGATTAGGGCTATGGCCTTCATACTTAAATAATCCTTGTGACTAGACCGTTCTTCTGAAACCGATAACTTTTACAGTTTGACATGACGCCTGAATTTTAACCTACATGAATCTTTCAAAAGCTTATTCTTAGCCATACCTTTCGAACGAGAAGGGCTAGGACTTTCATATTTCACATACGTCATCCTTGTGACAAGACCTTTAATTTCTTCAGAAACCAACAACTTTGTAGTATTTTTAAGAGTTCTGTGATAATAAAACAAATTAATAAAAATAAATTCAGTTTTTAGTCCCCCTTTTTTTGCACGTCTATTTTCCGTTGATTTCTAATAGTAGGCCTTAAGAATGCTGCGCATCAATAAATTGTATTTTCTGACAATGTCATTGAATCGACAAGAGAACTTACGAAACGATTATTTCACAGGAGACTGCTGGTATTTCATCAACTTGCTTGTCAATAATTTCCTTGTTTTAGAAATTATTCATACCAAGAGCATGCTTTGTGCTTCGAATCAACTGAGATATATACACTCCGTAAGCATATGGTCAATGTATATTGCTGCAAAAAAAGGGAAGTTAACGATATAAAAGTTCGTCATTACGTTTATCATATAATTTGGTCGTTAGAATTCTATTAACGTCTTTTTCAAGTAAAATATCCAGATGTGGATTGTTTTATTTCAAGATCACCAGGATATTTCGTATCGACATAAAAATGGAAATTACTATAATTGACAATATAATAATCTAAATGTCGAGTTTAAGGCCACCAAAAGTTTTTTTCACGAAGAAGATTTTGCATTAGTTCTTCTTCAAATGAATAAAGAATAGGTCTGCTAATAAAGGAGCGCAATTGGCACCCATGGGAATTCCAAAAGATTTTTGAAAAATGTGGTGTCCAAAAACGACATAGATATTGTCAATCAGAAATTCAAGCATCTTTTGATGTCAACTTAAAAGGACTTTTGTGTACAATCAGAACGTTTTTTAACAAAATAACTTTGCAAGTGTCCAATGACAAGGTAAGTAAAACAACGAATTTCATTTTTATTGAAAAAGCTGCCGTCAATGATATCAAACGGCCTTGACTTTAAATCATCGTGAGGAATGGATGTGTATAAAGATGAAAAGTTTTTTTAAGATGTTGAATTTAAGAAATCTTGTGGTATTTGAAATCTGGAGATTTTGAAAAGATATTTTATGGACGATAAATACAGTGTACGTTCAAGAATTAATTGAGAGATGCGTATATTTACTGAGGATTCATCGTGAAAAAAATTGAAATTTCAAAGTTAAATTCAAAGCATAAATTATTGCATTGATCAATAATTTTTTACTTCTCAACTGCTTATGCTAAACCGCCGCTTAATGAAAGAATTATATCATTAACCGGATAACCATGTCAACTTGTTGTAGTGCAAAACTTAATGATATTTGTATCATAAACGGCGTTGTATCATTTGCGGTTGCTACAAAGCATTTTTCTTTTATACATTGATTGCAGAAGGGGAAAATCTAAACACTGGGGAAAATCTAAACACTGACCATTTTTACAACTAATTATGCAATTTTCATGCTTAAAATAGTTATTTGTCTTTTTTGCGGCAATTGGTTTTCGAAGCACAGTCCATGCATTTACGTCTAAATCACTTTGGAAGTTGCTCAGTCTGAAAATAAAATTTGCAAATCATCAAAAAGAAGGATATGAAGAACAGACAAGGAAATGAAGTCGAGACTCAAAAGTCTATGAGACAGATGCTTCGTCATCTGAGTCATCCGACCACAACGGATGAATTTGTCCTAACCCAACATACGTTCGTTTGTAGAAATTCAAGATAAAAATAACTGATAACTGTTTAGAAGAAGAGCATTTTATTTCAAACATTATTTATTTATTACAATCAACCATTTACATTTAATAAAAAGTTTAGTGTATCTCTGCCTTCTTTTTTATTTATATTGAATGCTAGACCCACGTGTTAATCTTTGTCGTCTTTGCCTTTTATAAGAACTTGAGTTTCTCTATTATTCAATTCTTTTAGATCCAGACCTCATAAAGAATGATTTAAATACTGCATACTGCTATAATAGCATTCAAATTATTTTGATAGAATTTGTTTTCCCATGAATCAATAGTTTTTTTAAAATGAAATTATGAAGATAACACCGCCAAATGATAGGATAAAGTTTGATTGACATTTATTATTTATTTTGTTAAGCTAACATTTTTTGAGGCTAAGAATTTTAATCTCTTCACAAAAAATGTTTTTGCAAAATAGTTGCGTACTGAAAAAAATTAATGTATTAGTATTCATGGCAACATTCTGTATATACAACTATACATAAATCTAAATACGTTTACCTATCTGATGATCATATTTTACTTCATCACATTTTCCTGTCATACAGTCATGTCTGGCTATGTATCTGTATTCACACACTTTATTGTCAGTCCTTAATCCAACCCAAAGAAGATGGGTTTTGTCATCATAACTTAGGCTCCATGGGTTATTTATCCTGTGCTGATGATGTATCTGAATCAGAGACAGAAAGTGACCGTCTTTGTCAACCATATGTACAGTCGCAGCGTTCCAATCACAAACCAGGATGTGTGACAGAACATCAGTGCAGATTCCAAGCGGCTGAAATCGTGATTCTGATGGATGTCCTGTGTAGGAGAAGCGATGACTTCCTCCACGTTCTGTCACCAGTAAAGTACCATGATCAATACCATTCCAGTCAGACACAATTACATCTCCATTTCGATTTTCTGTAATGTATCTAAGATCTCTATACAGTTTCTTACCCATGTTGTGAAGCCACATTGTCTGTATGTGGTGTCCCCTGTTACTGTAACGGTTCAACTTGCTTGTATTTCTGTAATCTGACATTCCAGCAAGTAGATCTCCATTGGAAGGGGAGCAGTAGACACAAAGTGGTTTCTATAGCTGTCTGTTTATTATCATTGTACACTTTGATATGTTATCTTTTGATAGATTGTTTATGTTAAAATCACTGTCTATGTAAATAAGATCACCTATAATGTTCACCGTATGTGCTGCATATAAATTTCCTATATCTGTTACATGATGTAGTTTTTCACCTTTTTCGTTTACCAAGAATAGATTTTCCCTATCACTCATCAAACCTCGGTTAGATGTTCTTACTTACCCATATCCTTGACATATGTCACTTGGATAAATCTATGCAATACAGGTGTAGACATGATTGTATGTAGAGTATGTACTAAGAATCAACAGAGTGGTGCTAAACGCATATGCAGGTGTTAAGGGTTTATTGCTAAATAAGTAGGGGAGCTGGCGACGATAAAATTAAAGGTTGTCACATTTATCATATGTAAGCCTTTGTAGTTAGTTCACTAATAACGTCTTTTTCTAGTAAAATAGTACGTTAGTGCGTTAATATCGACCATATTAACGCACTTTGAACAAAATATAAAGATTGATCAATATTCCTACAAATAATCGGTATGATAATAACAGATCCAGGTTGGATACCTATTTTATGATAAAGTCACTTCAGGATCTGAGATATTGACGCCTTAAATATTTGAGGTTTTGATAAAATAAAAGGGAAAAGGTTCTTGGAAAAAAAGAGTGACGATTGTTTAAGATCATTAATTCGTTTCTTTTTTTTTAATTCGAGTCTTTGATAAGAAGATGTAAAGGTGTAAAGGGGGCACTAACAGTGGACAGCTTTAAGCAACTTAGCATTTATCATTATAAAAAGAGGACAATTTGATTGTTCAAAACTATGAAAATTCTTTCTCTCTCATGCGTTTTACTGTACTCTAGTTTTCATCTGTTTTAATTAACTCATGTAATATTGAAAGTATTCAACGTCATACCAGTTAGGTAAGTACATAATTATATAAATGTTTTGAGTATAGCATAGAAATCGAGACCGGGCGAATGGCCAGGGGAGGGGTGGGGCTAATCCCCCATTATTTTGGAAAGATATATACATTGTATAAGCATTGAAAATGCAGCTTACCCTTTTGGGGTTTATTGCTCCCCTCCCCCGTTTGTTACCGACACCTATGTATTGGAAAGATAAAGATTTAGACTGAGGGATCTTATACCCGTCATCTCCTCTTTCCGACGTGAGTAAATCAGTTCTGTTGTTGAGTTTAGGATTAGGGTTAGTTTATTAAAAGAAAAATAACAAATAAAATCTTTCCATTACTAAAATAAGTTTTTTTTTTCAAAGTGCGTTAAAATGTGTCCATGGTAAGTAATTTGAAGTAGACTCTTAACGCACTTTGAAATTTTTTTTTTCAAAGTGCGTTGAGGTGGTCCCAAATTTAACGCACTTTGAGAATTTTTTTCAAAGTGCGTTGATTTTGTCCCAATTTTAACGCACTTGGAAAAATTTTTTCAAAGTGCGTTGCCACAAGGCTATTTAAGAAATAGCTATTTATTGTTCACTGGCAGTAAATCATCGATAAATCAAATGGCTTTGACAATTGTTTTTGTTTTCTTTTCATGTATATTTCTTTTTAATTAAATCACATAAAGTGAATACAGCAATAGGTCTGCTAATAACGTTATGCAATCGGTATACCCATTGGGATTCTAACGTATAATTTGAGGACCAGGCCCCAAGATCATGAAACAGACTCAGACTGAAGTCAAATTTTCAATCACCTGTAAAATGTTTATTAACTATTAAATCAATCTCAAAATTTAAAATATTTGCATTCAGTGAATCAATATTGAAACGTGTTTTAATTTTCATCTGCTTGACTTCAACAAAATTTAAGTACAACATGAAAATTTTGACTTAAGCTTAAGATGCTTCGTGATCCTTGGGCCAGGTCGATCTCCAAAAACTGGAAGTATTGTCCCTACGAGACTCAATAATGCTTTGAAAATCCACTTCAGTCTTTGTATAAACAACCAGAATTTATTTCACATAATAATTTTGCAAATGATTAATGACAGGCTAAATACCAGAGTCATTCGAAAAGTTCTAAGACAGATGCAAAAAATTTATAAAACTGTGAAGTTTATGCTAAAACAAGTTTTAAGGAACATAAAACAACAAAAATGTAAAAGAACCAATGTTAAAGCTAGAAAAATGTTAATAATTTTAGATTAATACCTTAACTATTTTCCAAATTATCTTAAAATTAAAAGACATTATTTGTTCACCCGACTCAGTCGCCATTCAGTTGCATTACATCATTATTGCATATAAGCAGCAACATATTTCGATTACCATGTGAATAATCACTATCTTGCTATGCACACAAAGAAAAACTAACCCCCAACAAGCCAGTTACATTATCTCTCGAGTCCTTCGTGAGAGGATAATGATTTCTACCACCAATTTGCACTATTATAATACTAGGCTGAAAAGTCTTTAATCCATTTACAAAGTTTATATTACTCTCCCTTCAGCCTCCGTAATGTTTCCTCGCTAACTCCATAGTAATATACGACACATTGGCTAAACCTCAGGCCAAAGTTCGCCTTTTAATCTGTTTTGTGTCCGAAGGCACGTCAAGACCGACTTATGAAACTATGTCCAATTAACAACACGTTCATTATGAAAAACTATAGAATCTACAAACTAAATCTAGTCTCAATCTTTATAAAGCTTGCACAGCCTCGCTGAAATATAAACAATGGCGCCTGTTCTCAATGTAACAACAAGTAAGACAAGGAACCAGTCCACACAAATATAACATAGATTTTTATTTTAAACTTTTATTATTATTCTGCCATAGAAAGGACGAATTCTTTCGCAGATAGCTAACCCTTTTATTTCAGATGAAATGCAGTAAAACACTACAAAAAATAAACAATCATAAATTCACAATCAAAGAAATATCCAATCACAAAACATACTATCTCAAATAATAATGGAAATTATATCCAGAATATTTAACAGATTTCATCCCAAAAGTTTATGACAAAACATAAAAGGAACACACTCCTCCGAATTAAAGACAATTATGACACTTACTTTAAACCATAGTAAACAAGTAAATCTAAGATATTAATTCAGATAACATTCAAGTGTAATTACTTTAACGATAGTACAATTAATTGTCATAATGAGTTAATCATGATCAAGTTCACACATTGACAAGTCACATGTAGTATGCATAAATTCCGAACGACTCATCACAAAGTAAATGACATGTAAATATTTGGTAATAATGGATAGAATTGAACTGCATATGCAACAGTATCATAAAAAACATAGTTATATAAAAGATGTAGATACTTACACCGTGGGGAACCAAAAGAAGAGAAGGTATAAACGTACAGGTCGGCGCCAAAAACGAAAAGCCTGCATGAAAAACAAAAGACTTCCAAAAAACCCCTTCACATTAACTCGTACCTAAGATACTCGTAAAAAAATGATAAAATCAAAACAAATGACACCACAATTATAACAAAGAAAAATATGGAAAAAATTATTGATGTAAAAATGTAATAAAAATGGTAAATATCTTTTTCTTATTTTTGACAAAATATCTGTGACTGTGTGCTATTTCTAGACGCAAAATGTCATGATGCAAAATATGGTAATCTTAAATGTATCAAAACAAGAAATCATTGATGTAACCACCAATTGTCGCCCGGGAAATATATAAAGTAAACAATGGAAATGACTCTTGATCATCAAACCTTTCGATGTGTGTGAAAAGGCATGCGTCTAATTGATGGAAACGATAGTCTCGAATATTTGGAAAACTTATGCTCGGATAAATGTGAAACAAAAACGATACAATTTTAAACTTCAATTCCTAGAGTAAACTTTGGCTGCATAAAATATAAATTGAAGTAAGGCACATGCATAACCTATATCTAAATATGTATTTAATTTTCAATTTTAGAATATAAAACACGAACTGTGCAGAGTACGTTTTATGCCAGAAGTAAAATTCGATGTTCTAAAAAAAGGACCTGTAATTTTTTATAGTAAATGATAAACAACTTTATATATTAAATATGGAAACCATATATATTTTTACAGATTCACTTTATGGAAGTAAATATATTATGTATCTCGTAATTTATAAAGTGAAAGAACATTCTGTTTAACAGTCTTTTCATTGTTCAGAAAACCTTTAATTCTGAATAACTTTTCCCACCCCAATCCCCATATACCAACACTAAAACTTATATGTATAGAGCAGCCCGGTCCTCTGGTCTGCAATAAAAGTAAGATTACCTTATATAGCGACCTACCGAGCAAAATGAAAACACGTCAAAGCATCCAGCTTGTCATCGCAACTTAGTTAGGTCAAAACTACGCAGCACAGTTAAGGTTACAAATGGAAATCGGCGATTTTTAAAGATAAAAAATACATACTTTATTAGGATGGGCGATTCTTGTTAGGAATTCACTGATATCAAAAAAAGTTAATGTGGTTTAAATCTACATGTTGGGGAAATTTAGATTTTTTATTAAGACTTGTCATGTGATGTCGACGTCACATGACTTGGGCAATTATAGCTGCAGTTTAGAGGTCATCTATAAATTTCAATATTGCAAGGGCATAACCAAGTTAAAAATCTTAGTTTATTTTATAATCCTTTTCAACACTATATGTAGTTTGTGAAAAGTGCTGCGAACCTATATAGATTCCCTTTTTTAATTGGTAAAATTTAATTTGTTGGACGGCAGGTTGAATATTTTGCTGGTCAACTACATTAAATATAGCTATAATTAATTTATATGCGAGATTTCAAGAGGTTCGCAGCACTTTTCAAATATCTTAATGCTTCTTGAGATTATGTGTAAAATCTTGAAAAGATATTTTGAGGGTATGCCCTTGCAATAAATCGATTTATTAGGGCCCTTCCTTTACTTTTTCAATGAGTCTGCAAACAAATACATGACAGTATCGCTTGTCTGGAGAATGCACGTACAGTTTATAAATAAAATACTAAAATAGACATCGCATCCAAGTTAACGGCTTTTTATTTTACAGCAAATAATATTTTATTTAAGGAACAAAAGACATTTTTCATTGTACAAAATGTGACCTGATCAGCCTCTCACTGTGTACAAACTGCGTCATTTTTGCGAGATGACGTCACATTGACAAGTGCATTGCGATCGATGTATCGTTTATACGTCGGATTTAACAAACGACAAAACTGCATGTAATAG